TGTACTGTGACTCCAACGGGGAAGGAAGAAGTGCTTGCCTACCTACCACCAGGACGGCATAAGAAGAATTATTAAAGAATAGAAAACCTGGAAGGCAGGCTCCCAGAAGACTCGTTTTATCTGATTGCCCCTGTCTTCTTTCAAGAGCACAAAATACATCACAAAGGTCAGCGATTAATTGATAGAGCAAGCAAGACTTGAATCTGGAATCCAGTGATGCAATATTAACCAAAGTCATCCTAAAAATTACTCAGCAACAGGCTCCGAACAGAGCACTGACCTCTTCCTAGTGAACATCACTCTGAAAAACAAATGACTCATCCCACACATCTTCCCAAATCTATTATGTCCTAGTCACTGGAAGCCAGCTTCTGCTTTTCTGAGTATTGAGGACAGCTGCTGTCTTCAAGAAAAGATGGTTAGGCATGTTAAAATAATGAAAAATATTTCTTCAGAAGAAAAGTTGGTCAATAGTATCAAGATGTCCAAATCTCCAAAGGGGAAAAAAAAAAAAAAAGAGCAGGTGAGGGGAGAAAAGTCAAAGGGAGGGGAGAGGTTATTTTGAAACTGCAGTGGCTAAGTCAAAAAGTGCCCTGCAGCTGCTTGCACAACAGCCTCCTCATGCTGAGGGCACACTGAACAGTCTACAGAAATACATAAAACTCATAATTAACTTGTCATGGCATCCAAGCACTGGAGAATGTTGATGATAGGAGCACTAGTCCTCAGACCTAAGGCACAACCAGCTCATACCCAGGGATCAAAATCCTCCTCCTTTACTTTGAAAATAAAGAACAGCATATCGCTTCCAAGCACCATGAACACAACCTGGAGATGACACATCTGAGTGAGACAGAAGACTTGTCACTTCCTCAGCACCAAGACCACCCATTTCCATGGATGAATGTAAAGTTCAGACTTTTAAGTCCATATTCAAGATTGAAAGTCCTGATATGATTGCCAATATCGCTAAACATCCACACTCCGGTTTCAAATCAACAGCAGTTTTGACTATTGCGCACATCTGGTAATTTAGGTGTTTAATTTTAGGTCCCTAGTGCTAATTTTAGATTCAAATTTGACATATTTGTCCTCACTGCTCTGCATCTTAATCAACTTCACAAACAGGCACTTCTTGCCCCAGCTTTACTCCAATCAGATAGGGACTTCACATTCTTTTACTTTTCTTGCAACAGCAAAGCCTACAAGACCCACAGGTGCAGTGGCTTCCCAGCTCCTCCCCAGTCCTCCACCACTGCTCAGCACCTGTTTTGTGGCTTGTCAGAGAACCCTTGCCAACACAACGCCCATATGAAGATACACCTGAAGAATATAGAAGGGTCCCTGTGTTTGACCGACACTACAGGGACTTGTTTCCTCTCAGAAGGTTTCATATTAGTTGCTCTCAATAAAAAATAGACCTAACCCATCTTGTCCACCACTGAGGTATCATGAAAAGCAGCAGCACCCCACAGGTCAGCTAAACTCTTTGCCTCCATAGGTAAGGCAGATGTCAGGTCTGCTTTGCAGCGACAGCACGTGCTTATTGCCCTGGTTGGGGTCACTGGTTGCAATGGGTGCTCTCTACTGCTGGCTGCTCAACCTCAGCTGCATCCTTACAAAGAAGATACTAAAGCCTGCCAAGGGGGGGGTGAAACATGCCCGCTCCCCTCCTGAATCCTCAAAGACCCATCCTGCACCATGACAAAAGCAACTGTTTGAAGTGAGATGTAGACTATGAGAGTTGAGAGGCACTAATAAAGCCCATACATCACCCTCCAGAAGGACATGTGTCCTATTGAGTGTGACAGACGTGATTTATGCCACCAGCATTATCTGGAGCATATCTATGGAAGGGGTTGAACCTGTTAGTCCTCCATTCAATCAACCCCCTGCATTTCTTTGGAGCAGTATCAGGAGAGGCCCATTTACCCCAGTAGAAGCTCGTAAGTGAACATTTGTGAGAGTTAATAGAATATGAAATAGAGAGAAAAACGGGAGTTTAGCAACAGATGTAGATGGCAAAGTTCTGAAAGGCAGTTTGAGTCACTACAGAGAGGCTGGTGAAACACTCAGAACGACATCTAGCCTGTGCCACAGAGGAGCACCAGTGCTGCTCTTTAACGGTGATTTTTGGGATGGTGTCGGGGTTCAGCCCGGCGGCGGCTCAGCCGCTCCCCACTGCCTGCAGTGTGGGGAGAGGAGAGAAATGTCACCCACGGCCCGAGGGTGGGACGGGAACGGGGGGAGCACCCACCGACCGCGGCCCCGGGCAGAACGGACTGGGTCTGGGGACAAACCAGTTCAATTGACTGACAGTTACTGGAGAGGATAACGAGAAACAAAGTCAGATCTAAAACCAACACCTCCCCCACCGCTGCCCCCTTCCCGCCGCTCCCTCCTCCCCGCGGCGCAGGGACGGGCAATGGGGCTGCGGGGCAGG